CTAGGAGGAAAACCTCAGAAGTTATGTTACTTGTGTAACAAATTGACAAACTATAAATGAAGAAAACAAAAGTTAATATTTGATAGATCCTATCTTATGGATCTTGTCAGAAGTCTCATGAATTTATCACTTCTAAGGATGTAGCATGTGGATAAATGAACCAAAATCCATCCAGAGAAAGCAATTTACATCATAAGGCATACTATTTTCCAATATTAATGTAGAGCTTTCCTTTCCACATAAGACTGTCATTTTCCTGTGAAGTAAAAAAGCCAATTTAAGGATTTGTACAAAGACTATATGGCACTTGTGCTGGTTCACTGGAAACACAGTCTTGCCAGATGAGATGACACCAGCAACCATGCTGAGCTAGATATCCTCCAATAATACGACTGTAGAATTCTAATAGCTGTATGTTGCAGTTTTAAACCCCTTTCTGCTTTCCAGAACCACCAGAAGAAAATAGTGCAGTCTAATAGTAAATGGTTTCCTTTAGGAAAACTCAAAAATACTCATGGTTGGAAGTTCACCTACAAGAAGAAATTGTTGCAGTCCATTCACTTTACATACTATACATTATAAAACCAAAAACTTGGTTTCAACTATTCCATCCAGTACAGAAAACGCCCATTGCCCAATGTTGGTCCCTGCAGAAAGCAGACAAAGGAAACTGGATGTGAACCTAACCTTTAGCATTTTCTTGCAGAAAGTGGATTCTCTCGAACTTGAACCCCACATTGTCATGCTTATCAGCCCAGTATTTTACTATCGCACCAAGGAATGGCATCTACAGAAAAAGTTTCAGGATATAATTTGCAGAGATACCATAAGACAAACCACACCAAGTACAGGATGTTTATTTTCTGTATGAGGAAAGAGATAGTGATGCTCAGTGAATCTCAAGAAAAGCTCAAGCGTGAGATTGAGCAAAAAATGCCACAGATTAGGTCCAAATCCAGTCCACCCCTCCCACAAATCATTGTCAGGATCAGCATTAGGTAGTGGCCTTCTACACTTTGGTAAACTCAATAACTTTGTTCAAGTTCTTGTCACATACATACATACATACTCATAAACATGTAACATAGAATTCTACTGAACAAAAAAAGAAAAAGAAAAGGCAAAAGACAAGAAAAACAATTTCCTTGAGAGTAGGGGAACAAGAAATTAAAAACCTCAAGTAGCTTTTTTTTTCTTTGATAAATAACCTCAACTAGATTTCAAACTTATAAAGAAGATATATGTGGTTTGGGCTTCATAGTACAATCTACAAATGTAAATATTTGATGGAGTGAAGACTTATGACTGCTTCTTTTTCTTATCTATGTAAGACTTTGACCTTTGGTAATGCAAGATCACCCAGCCCAGCCACCAAGGAGACATCTCCGGCCAAGATGCATTTAGGACATGCAAATAGCAGAAAGTCGTCTGCCAGAGAAGGAAATTGCTCAGCCGTGTCTCACCAGAAGTCCGAATCAATATATCAGGATCTGGACATTCAGATAGATACATGTGTCTCTCCAGATCTGCCAAAGCAATACAAGATTCTTCCTCCAATAAAGGGTTGTTGTATCCACCAAGAATATCTACTTTTTTTCCATTGAAATTTGAATTTGCTTCCTGAGCTTGGGTTAATTTTTCTTTACATGATTCTTCAACAGCATGCACAATCTCATTTGCAGATGTATAGGCAACACAAACCGATAGTACTACATTGGTGTTCTTGGCAGTAGCTCTCATTGCCTTCTCAGCTGCTAGTCTGACAGGCTCATGCAAGAGCTTCAAATCCCCAGAGAAATTAATTCTAACCCCATGACTATTCACAATGCTCTCTTCCTTGAGCAACTCATCAATCTTTTCCATCATTAAATCCATGATATACTTAACTTCACTAGGATCCCGCTTGAAATTGTCAATGCTGAAAGCGTATACAGTTACATACCTTACACCTATCTTGTAACAACATTCAAGGATCTGAATCAAAGAAGAAAACCCAGCTCTGTGACCAGCACCAGGTGCCAATTTCCGGGATTTGGCATATCTACGATTCCCATCCATGATGAAGGCAATGTGATATGGGATTGGACCTACACATAGAAGTGCAAAAAACAACTTTTGCAGGGTACTATCCATGAAAGATACGAACTTATGATACATCAACCGAAGAAATTTTCCAATTCCATTCTCCATGTTAAAATCCTACACAAAAACACAAAGCAGACAAAAAGTACAACAGATAAAAAAGAATCAGGAGATGTTGGTCTTGCTGTATGTACCACACAGGCAATAGGCAACCGATCATAAGGTCGGAAATCATAACATACCATTCTGTCCTTCGAACCAACTTTGACTTGCAGTTCGGAGAGCCAGCATTAGCAGCCCAGGCCCAGGCTTGAGGCGGACATAGGGTTATGTTTGCTCTACCTCTTAGCTCATTAATATTCACTTTTGCAATAACCCAAACATCTAGTGTGCAACAACAACTCCTATCTGCATTCGGACCTGCTGGTTACCTAATGAAAGGGTGACCGTCAGATAACGTATGAAAACAGGGAAATGTGTAAAACTCTAACAGATATCAAGTAGACATTTGAAACAATAAAGAAAGAAAGAAAGAAAGAAAACGCAGAAGACATAGGAAAAATAAAATCTTTTTGTCTCTACAAATCAAACCCAACCCACAATATTCATATAATGACCACATAACAGGTTCAAAACCTGCGATATGTGCAAGCAACGGTTTCTACATCTCCTAACAAGAACAAGCTTAAATTAGGATTGAAAATTTGAAACCAGAACGGTCCAAGTCTAAATCCAAAATAACAAGTTATTAACAACGATCAGGACTAAAAGAATTGTGGAACCCCATCACCATTGTTCATCAATCCTTTTTTTCCCAAAGAGAGACAACACAACAAAATACAGCACGTTAAACCCAAATTGAAAAGACCAAATAGTAAAACCAAGTCGATTCTGGATTCCCATCACTTTCGTTCTTCTTACCTTGGACTGAGCATGAGAATAAGAAACCGGATTGAATAACTGAAAGTGCAGAACGACATGAAAATCAGATGCGGCAGAGAGAGAGAGAGAGAAGAGTTACCACTTACCAGTCGTTTTTGGAAGCTAAAAGCCTAAAACTTGCCCCTGGCCTACTCTCCTGGCGTTCAGTGCAAGAGGAATATTGGATATTGTATCAGGACGGCAAATCTAACTTCACTGCAGAAAGAGACACAAGTGATGACCGCTGAGGCGTCGAGACAGAGAAAATTCTACCTCGACCCGTCTCCTATTCAACTCGTGTGGCAGATCGGGTCAGAACATACTAAAGATTTATACCGGGTTAGTGCTCTCTTGACCAAGTATTCGGTACTGCGACGTTCATAAAATGCGGTGCGTTAGAATATACTGGCCCCACGTTGTTGAAAATCACATGGTTTGAGCGAATTAAAAGAAAGAAATCACATGGTTTGAGCGAATTAAAAGAAAGAAATCACATGATTTGAGCGAATCAATCATGAGATCACATGATTTTAATCGCACCACACTCGTGCTTTTGCACTGTAGTAGGTTGTTGCATTATCATCAAAGTTTTTAATTGGGTAATTTACTAGAGCACCCCCTATTTACTTTAACCTACTCATTTTACTAAAACACTTGCAACCTATTTATTTACCAACGTTTTAAAAATCGATCCAGAAACGGAACCGTTCTATCTACCAGTTTTTAGGTTAGCAATTCAATCGCCTGGGTCGAACGATTTGGACGGTTTGTATATTAGGGCAAATTTTATGAGATTTCAGATTTGAGAAAGGAAAAAAAAAAAAGAGATGTCGGTTGAGAAAGCCAGATGGTGAAAAAGAAAAAAAAAGAAATAAGAAGAATGAAGGAGAGAAGGAGGGAAGAAGAAGGAAGAGGAGGAGGAGGAGGATAGCGGCGACGGCGAGGCAGTGGCAACAGATGCAAATCTGAGATCCGAGTTCTTGGATCTCAATCTGAGATCAATTTCTCTAAAAGACTTAGTCTTCTTCTTCTTCTTCTTCTCTTTGTGCTAGATCCCATATCTGAGTTTGTGTCTTAGACTGGATCTCAGATCTGAGCTCTCCTCTCTACAACTTTATATTGCAAACCGCTGGCTAGGTTAAACGAGTTGACGGTTCGACTGCCCGGGTCAACAATTTTCTGATGAAGTCAACGATTTTTGACCCAAGAACGAGTTAAGGGTGAAATGGAACCAGTTGCTTGGACGATTTTTGGGCCGAACGGTCTTACCGTTCGGGTCAACGACAATTCAAAAACATTGCTATTTACTTAATCAATTTTTCATTAATAAGTGTTTGTTTTGTTATCTTAAGGCCATGTTTGACTTCACTTCTAAAAAGTACTTCTTTTAACAAGTACTTCTTTTAAGTGTTTGGACCATACATTAAGTGGTAAAAAAGTACTTATGTGTGTTTGGTAAAAAAGTCACCAATAAGGGTTTTTTTTTAAAAAAAAAAAGAAATACTTATAGAAAAAGTGACATGAGATTGGCTTTTTTTTCAATACCACTTGGAAAGTGCTTTTTCAAAATGTATGGGACGATTCAGTCCCTAAATAATTTATTTAATATTCATTTTGCCCCTACGCGAGGGTTTTCTTTCCTCTCCTCCTATTCGAACATAGTAAGCAGAGGGTGGCGGCTCCAGTTGCAAATCCACCAGTGATGATTGACGGTGCGAAAATACAGACGACAGACTTGCCATTTTTCCCTTTATTTCTTTATTTCTTTTTTTTTTTGCTTATTTCATTCGATTTGAAGCATTTTTCTTGAGTTTTTTAACGCCTGAAAAGGCAGTCTTCTCTCTATTCGTTCTGTGATTGGGCAAGTTTACCGACGACACCCAACCATCTAGTCGTCGGTGAAAGAAGGTGAGTTCGCCCAAACTCCCCCCCCCNCCCCCCGCTCCATGTTTGATGTTATTTTCTTGCTTTTTTTTGGGTGAATATTTGTTTGGATTCATTTTTTCATATTTCTCTAGTGAGAAATCCAAAATATTTGCTTTTTTTTTTGCATTGACTATGTCATGATTCCTATGCATGAGTAGTTTTTTTTTTGTGTTCTTTTGTTAAAAATGATGCAAAACATATGCTGAAATATGTGGGTTACAGATTTTTTTCTTGATTTTTTGTATGAATAATTAGTTAAATGTTTATATTTTTCTTGATTTGTGATTGCATTTTTCTTTATTTTTGATATGTATAGTTGTGATGTTTTTTATATTTTGTTGTGATTAATATTTAGTTAAATGTTTACATGTATTCTTGATTTATGATTGCATTTTTCTTTATTTGTTATATGAATATTTGTTATGCTTCGTATATGTTATTATGATTAATAATTAGTTAAATGTTTGAATTATTTTTTGAAAACTTGTCATTGCATTTTTACTTCTTAAGTGTAATGGTGAATCTTTGTTAGTAAATATCATTTGATGATGTTAAATTCACATTGTATTTTTTTCATGATTTTTTGTTCACATTTTAATATTTTTTTGAATAAGCCAAATTTTCCTATTTTACTTTTTTTTAAACTCTCATTGATATTTGTGTTTTTTATTAATATGTTGGTTTATCATTAATATGTATAGTTAATATTATCCTATTTTATTTTTTAAAATAGGATATTGGTGGTGTTTGTTAAATTGTTCTTACTATTATTATTTATTATATTTTTATTATTATTATTTATCATTTGTCATTATTTGTTATTATTACTATTATTTATGATATTTTATTATTATTATTTATCAATAATATTTATTATTTGTTGTTGATGTTGGTGGTGGTGATGTTGTTGTTGTTATAATAATAATAATAACAATAATAATAATAATAATAAGTGATTTGGCAAGTGAGTCACCAAATAGCCTAAAGTGGTTGTTAAAATAAGCACTTCTAAAAAGTATTTGTGCAACAAGTACTTCTTTTAACAACCACTTAGGTGGCGTTTGATAAATCTGAAAAGTTAAAAAGATATTATTTGTCTGAAATCTAAAAAGAAGCATAGGTGCTTTTCTAATTTTTAGAGGCTCTGAATCAATAAATTTGTTTGTGTTGGATCAACTCTTTACCATCCAAAATTCTCTAATTTTACTGTTTTACCCCTAGAACATACTATTTGGAAATGTTGAGTTCAATTCACATTATCTCATAAAAATAATTTTCAACTTCAAAATAATATTGAAACAATATGAATAAAAAACAATAAAATAATAATTAAAATTACTAATTACTAATTAATAAATTACACAATTAAAATTAAAAAATAATTAATGACTATAAAAATATTAAAATAATTAATAATTTACACAAATAAAAATTAAAATAATTTTTAAAAATTAATGAAATAATTAAAAATTACTAATTAATAAATAATAAATAACACAATTAAAATTAATAAAAAATAATTAATGTTTAATAAAAATAATAAAATAATTAATACTTAATAAAAAATAAAATAATTAATAACTAATAATTAGTAAAAATAATTTGTAATTAATAATTATTATTAATTATTGATCCCTCACCATCTTGACATCAAGCGCTCTCCTTGTTGTTGCTTCTCGATCCCCTATCACCGACAAAGTACTCCTCCAAGGAGCCACCGCTATTGGAACTCTCAAGGCCGAAACCTTCCTACTGATTTCTTGCTTTTCTTCCTTGGACAATTTCTCTGCCGACGAAATGCTTTGCTTCCGTCCCCTAAAAAGCACCAGCAGGAGCGAAATAAACACATTAATTAGCATCATTAGAAGGTTCAACCAGTTTCTTGTTCTCAAGAACCAGGACGGACGTTGCAGGATTTTAATGGCAGAATCCCTAAAATAACACATTGAAATGAGTTTTTGCTTCTTCCTTTCTCTCCCTATTCCCCATGATTCGTTTTGACAAGCAAGAATCTCTAGCTGAACTCAAATCCCATAAAGAATGTGTGTGTGTGTGTGTGTGTGTGAGAGAGAGAGAGAGGAAGAGGGAGAGGGTGTGGGAAATTGAATGCCACAACAACTCTTTTATAGCGGCAGTGGTGGGAAGACAGGGGAGAGAGAGGGGGAGAGAGAGAGAGAGAGAGAGAGAGGGAGGGAGGGAGGGAGGGAGGAGGAGAGGGAGAGGGAAACGCCACTACTAATAGTTGCAGCAGTGGTGGCGGGAAGACAAGGGGAGAGAGGGAGAGAGAGGGTGGGGGAAATCAAACGCCGTTGCAACTAGCGGTGGCGAGAATACAAGGGGAGAGGGAGAGAAAGAGGGAAATGTCATTGTTGAGAGTTACAGTGGCGGTGGCTAGAAGACAAAGGGGAGAGAGTGAGGGTGTGGGTGAGGGAAATTGAGGATGGGCATTTTTGTCTTTTAATGTTGTCTGAAAAACGTCTAAGCACATTAAATCATTGGCCTACTTCTTACAAATTCATATATGAAAATGCATTTCACGTCAGACTCAACCCAAACATAGGTGGCATCTGAAAAAACAACATTTTCAGATTTCAAATGTCTGAAAAGTATTATCAAATGCAACCTTAATCACCAAACATAGCCTAAAAATAGTATCGTGATCACTTGAATTAGTAGAAAATATTCAAGGACATGGGACCATAATTATTTATTTCAAAAGTACCCCTAACACTTCTTTGTATAAAAAACAAAATTAGCCAAATAAAATAGTTGATTGTGTCTCAATAGTGGCAAAAATGTTATTTCCATTTTTAACTTATTTTAGTTAAATTTATTCAAATGAAAGGTTGATTAAGTAAATCGAATGCAAACTAGAAGCGGTATTTCAGTAAAATGCAAATTACATGATAGGTTTTAATAAATCCATGAAACCAGAGGGGGTGTTTTAATAAATGACCTTTTTTAATATTATATCCTGTCCTTTATTATAATCTATTATAAAAGTTAAATATGATAAATGGTTAATACATTTGCATATTAGTATATTATAATAATGATTGAATTTATTGTAGCATGGATCCGTTCACATGATTTGGGTGTGAAGGGGAATGCAATATTTTTGTATTTTTTATTAAAATGCTATATGGTTTGGGAGTGGTGTGAGTTTTGTTATGACCATAGGGTATCCATTATATTTAATGTAGATACCCATTTCTAATACTTGGTAAACCCATAAATACTTTTGAATGTATTTCATAAAAAAAAATAATATACATAGTAAAAACAAGGATTTAAATATATGGGTGTATCATATCGGTATCGTCAGGGATAATTCGAAACTGAATCTCCCAACATGGAA